GGTGACTTACTTTTTCTAGTCTTTGACTGGCAGACTCTGTTCCAAACAAGGATTCAAGTAGGTAAAAAAATCAAATCATTCAACAGATCCAGTTCACCACATCCTTTCAGCTGTATGAATTAAGAAGTAGGCTGATTCTTTCCCATTTTTCCTCCTGAGACAATAAACTATGAAGTTTGTCGCTGTTTAAACAGCTAAGCTCAAGGGGGACATATCCATTACCCGTGCCCCCTTGGGAGAATGAAGTGTGTGGAATTATGAAGAATGCTTTATCATATGCAGATTTATTTGTTTCATGCGTAATACATCTTGGAATATTAATTCTGACTTCTAAAATTGCCTCTCACTAATTTCACAAACAACAGATATGAAATTTGATGATTTAACATATTTTGCGAAGATCAGATTATAATCAAAAGTATGTCATATCCATACACCATTACTGTACCAAAAATGTCAACACATTCACATTACTTGTAGGGGCACAGGTGGATTTCACCAAAATGGTAAAGGTCTAAGACCTGCATCACTTCGGGCTTTCCTCAAACCCACGCCGTGATATAACTGGAATACTGTTCAAAGCAGCATTAAACCCAACTCACTCACTCACTCGAATATGTGTATGTTATCTACTTTTAAGTAATACAGATTTGGAATCATTCATATGCTCAAGTTGCATATAAAGAGTGTGTTGTCGTGAAGCTGAATGTTGTGCAGCTGAGGGGTTTCCTGACAAACTGAACCATGCACCAGATAGGGATACTGTTTTCTCTGCAATAAACGTTATGCACGCATAGACAATTAACAAAGGGGGTGCTTATTAAGACCATTAAAACATTGATGTAACTAAATGCTTTGATAACTGTTAATCGGAAATTATATACATTTACCCCTTTTACTGTGCTGTTTTCTGTAAAGAAATCTGAAATATCCCCAGAAAATAAGGACTTTCATGTAAAGATTACTCACAGATTGGTCTACACGTTCGGCTCTTTTTGGAACGGGCGCTTAATATGCCGAATACAGTATGTAGAAGCTCCTTAAAAAATCTTGACTTTTTGATTAAAACTTCATTCACTGTGCAGTGTTCTGATACTGGGCGAGCCAAGTACGTTTTTGGCATACATGTTTTCATGCTCTTGGTAAACAAATTTGCCAGGTTTTAGAGAAAGGTTCACCTGTGTTGCGCAAGCTCGCAAACACCTCACTTTCTCATAATCAAGAAATCATCCACTAGCCACGCCAAGTGTGTTTACTAGGCAATTAATTTCCAATACGGAGTGACCCAGTATTGCACTGGCATTGGCCCAAATAGATCACATGGCATACAGGCACCAAATACCCAGCCATCTGCGTTGGAGACTCAAGAGGAAGAAAATCTTGGACTCTAGTGCATGTTAAATAAATCACATATTGCTTTGACAAGATGAAATACAAGTAAATTGTAAAATTTGATAGCTTTGTTGGCATACGTTTTTCCCCAGAGTTGACTGGGCACCATATGCCAAGATGTTTCTTAATTTGATATAGTTGTGTAATACGTTCTGTGTGTGTTGGCAGTATAAGGTATAGTCTGTTTCAGACTTGTGGAGGCAGTAGGTAGGGAAAGTGATTGGATGTCACTCCAGCATACCAGTCATCAACAATAGCAGAGGTATTGCAGACAATGGTGCCATTACCTAAATTCTTCAGAACCATCACAAGGGTAGGAAGAAGTGCAAAAGCATCAATAGGTTATTAGTTGCGCTTTGAAGATGTTTACCAAGTATACACCTTTTAGTAAGTGAGTAAAGTGGGTTTTGTCAGCTGTCATGTAGCTATATCATAGTCTACATTGTACTGTTGAAATTGTGTATCAGTGCTGGCTGTGTGAACCAATAGATTTGTAGCATCAGACCCTAATGTCATATTTGTGCAGCCAGGTTCATTTGTTCTGAGTACTGAGACTCGTTTGATGACACACTACAATGGAATCAGTAGGGATGGGCAGACTCATCAAAGTCTGAGTCAGTCAGATGTTAGAAGATCAATTATTTTAAGTGTGTGTGTGTGTGTGTGTGTGTGTGTGTGTGTGTGTGTGTGTGTGTGTGTGTGTGTGTGTGTGTGTGTGTGTGTGTGTGTGTGTGTGTGTGATATCATGCTTGAAACATGTCATTGTAGGTGTGATGATGTATAAGATCACACCCATTCAATTACTTGTTTTACAGCAGACATAATTGAAAATGAACATATCGTATTTAGTTATAGCAAAATCAGTAAATGTGCTATCGTGTGACTGATTTTGTGGTCCATCACTGGATTGTCTAGTTTGTTTACAGACCGCTGTTGCATTGCAGGAGTACTGCAACAAAAACTTACATTTTTATGCGAATTGTGTGAGTGGTGGATGCTACCGGTAGGGCAAGACAAGCTTACCCTTTTTGCAAACACGTGGTGTCATCACTGATCTTCAGCAATATTGTGCCTGGAACGCTCAATTGAATCTGTTTGGGCACATAATCAAGACTAGTTATTCTCTTAAATTGACATTTTATGCTTTCAGATCTGTCTGAAAGTAGATTTGGTAAAAAAAATGAAAATGGTAAACAGGTGAATCATTATTTCCATTGTTTTACTCGCTTTTGAATATAAATCTTATTAGACTTTAACAAGTTAAAAACTGATGTTTTTAACCAAACTTAGTGGCAGCATGAACTGTTTCAGTACACACAAAGTAAGCAGGCGTCTCATTTCAGTATTTTGCAAACATCTGATGATCACTGATTTTCAGTCAGCCATTTCTGTAATTTTCACCATGTTTTTGCCTGTTACACTCTATAGAATCAGTTTTTGCAGGTGATTGAGACTGGTAGAGACATTTTATATTTAGCCAAGGAAATATGTAAACCAATCAGTATTCCATATTATTTTATTACAGTAGCCTCAGTTAGACATTTGTTTCTGATTCCTTCCTGGGGACACTATTTGAATGTTTTGGGCTGGGCTTATTGTATTTCTTTTACTTAAATGACCGTAGTCTAAATTATTGTCATTTACACCTGCTACCAAGCACATACTACACAAACTGTTGCCATATCATAGGAAATTCTGTCTTGGCCTAATGAATGACAAGCCAAGTATACATTGCTTGGCTGAGTGAGTGAATATGGTTCTGTGCTGCTTTTAGCTATATTCCAAAATAGCATGGTGGAAGACACCAGAAATTGGCTTCACACATTGTGCCGTACTTTAGAATCAAACCCAGGTCTCAGGCACGAGGAGCAAACACTTTATCCACTAGGCTACTCACCGCCCCCTTTATATTGAAGAAGCAGGCTGAATCTTAGTGAAAATCATTAATATCTTTGGTTACTCGGAAACCTTCGAAGCCTATCTATAACCTAAACCTGCAGTACAAAGCAGTGTGAGCACTGAGGTGTCTGTGGCTAAACACACTATTGCCAGTGATGCCAGGAACTCAGCTGATCTTTAACTGGGGCTGATGTAAGAACACACATGGAAAGTGATGCAACTAACATTGCTGTGGTTATAACAGGTGGCACCTGATTCCCAGCCTTATGGTGACCAAGCCAACAAGAACTGAAGCCCTGTAGACATTACACACACCTTGCCATGTGCACATGACATCAGCAGACTGACGTGTAAACATGACCAACACACAAACATGCCACAGTGGTCATAATTTCAACATCAGCTTACAGAAGGCTTCTGTTTTCTATAGGATTCTTGTTGCATTTAATAACTTATTCATATCAGGAATCACATTCAAATCCAGCTGTTTAAATGATGGATGTATAAAAATATTAAAAGAAGTTATGAACATCTGATATTACTGAAAAGAAAATATGTCTGTGATATTATGTCAGATATGAGTAAAAGAATAATATTTAGGGAAAATTTGTGAGGAATGTGAGTGTGTGATTGCAAAGTGAAACCCTTCTGAATTGTTTTCCCGTCATCTACATCTCAAAGTGAGCCTTTCATGACAGGATTGTGTGCAGTGAGGACTCCCATGCTTACAGATGCACCGTTTGACATCCGAGGAGAGAAACATGGCAACGCTACAGCAGGGAGATGTTTTGGGTTGTCTGTGTAGATCATTAGGATGATGATGTAGTATTTCCATGCATCTCACATGTGCTGGCACTGTTGATGTTTATGCTAAATAACAATATTTTGGCACTATTGATGCCACTTCCTATACTGCATAATGTGCAACAAAATGCTTTAATGTACGTGTTTGATGAATCTCTGCTTTGGGAATTTTAAGTTGATGTTTACTGAAGTACCGTATGACCTCAAAAGTATTAACATTAATTAAATATAACAACATTTTATGATGAAATTAGTTTACATCAGGTTTTCATTAAAATGTCTAGGTATATCAAAGAGGATTATGAAATTGTTACTGGTTATTTTTCGGACACAAAGTACATTCAATGCACAACATTTACAATTGAAGTAGTACATATTGGCTTCAGATATCTTTAGATAGGTGATACAGTGCTCCCAGACCAGTTGCACGTGTGTGATCATTTCGCATCTCCTAAATAACAATGTTGTTAGACAGAATAGAGGTGTGCAAGTGACACTTAGCGTATGCTACCTACAGCTGGTGTTTTACTTACTGAGCAACATTTAGCATGTTCTGAGACACAAGATTTTTTGGGTTGTGTTGATATCATTTCTTTTCACTAGTACAAACGAAGTATAGACATTTTTGCACCGTTTTATCATTTGCTGTTAGGGTGAGGAGTTGATGGATGATTCCTTTTCCAGTTAGAAACAGGACTACTCTCCTTACTATGGAAGGTGTGGTTAGGGAGGTAGATGGAAGGTAGATGGAAGGGGTGGTTAGGGAGGTTGTGGGAAGGTAGATGGAAGGGGTGGTTAGGGAGGTCACATTGGGAGGTAGATGGAAGGGGTGGTTAGGGAGGTCGCATTCGGAGGTAGATGGAAGGAGTGGTTAGGGAGGTCGTGGGAAGGGGTGGTTAGGGAGGTCACATTGGGAGGTAGATGGAAGGGGTGGTTAGGGAGGTCACATTGGGAGGTAGATGGAAGGGGTGGTTAGGGAGGTCGTGGGAAGGTAGACTGAAGGTGTGGTAATGGAGCCTGTGGGAAGGTAGATGGAAGGTGTGGTTAGGGAGGGCGTGGGAAGGTAGATAGAAGGTGTGGTAATGGAGGCCGTGGGAAGGTAGATGGAAGGTGGGGTTAGGGAGGTCGTGGGAAGGTTGATGGAAGGTGGGGTTAGGGAGGTCATGGGAAGGTAGATGGAAGGTGTGGTTAGGGAGGTCGTGGGAAGGTAGATGGAAGGTGTGGTAATGGAGGTTGTGGGAAGGTAGATGGAAGGTGTGGTAATGGAGGTTGTGGGAAGGTAGATGGAAGGTGTGGTAATGGAGGTTTTGGGAAGGTGTGGTAATGGAGGCCATGGGAAGGTAGATGGAAGGTGTGGTAATGGAGGTTGTGGTAATGGAGGTTGTGGGAAGGTGTGGTAATGGAGGCCATGGGAAGGTAGATGGAAGGTGTGGTAATGGAGGTTGTGGGAAGGTGTGGTAATGGAGGCCATGGGAAGGTAGATGGAAGGTGTGGTAATGGAGGTTGTGGTAATGGAGGTTGTGGGAGAGTGTGGTAATGGAGGTTGTGGGAAGGTAGAGGGAAGGTGTGGTAATGGAGGTCACAGGAAGGTAGATGGAAGGTGTGGTAATGGAGGTCACAGGAAGGTAGATGGAAGGTGTGGTAATGGAGGCCGTGGGAAGGTAGATGGAAGGTGGGGTTAGGGAGGTCGTGGGAAGGTAGATGGAAGGTGGGGTTAGGGAGGTCGTGGGAAGGTAGATGGAAGGTGTGGTTAGGGAGGTCGTGGGAAGGTAGATGGAAGGTGTGGTAATGGAGGTTGTGGGAAGGTAGATGGAAGGTGTGGTAATGGAGGTTGTGGGAAGGTAGATGGAAGGTGTGGTAATGGAGGTTTTGGGAAGGTGTGGTAATGGAGGCCATGGGAAGGTAGATGGAAGGTGTGGTAATGGAGGTTGTGGTAATGGAGGTTGTGGGAAGGTGTGGTAATGGAGGCCATGGGAAGGTAGATGGAAGGTGTGGTAATGGAGGTTGTGGGAAGGTGTGGTAATGGAGGCCATGGGAAGGTAGATGGAAGGTGTGGTAATGGAGGTTGTGGTAATGGAGGTTGTGGGAGAGTGTGGTAATGGAGGTTGTGGGAAGGTAGAGGGAAGGTGTGGTAATGGAGGTCACAGGAAGGTAGATGGAAGGTGTGGTAATGGAGGTCACAGGAAGGTAGATGGAAGGTGTGGTAATGGAGGCCGTGGGAAGGTAGATGGAAGGAGTGGTAATGGAGGTTGTGGGAAGGTGTGGTAATGGAGGCTGTGGGAAGGTAGATGGAAGGTGTGGTAATGGAGGTTTTGGGAAGGTGTGGTAATGGAGGCCGTGGGAAGGTAGATGGAAGGTGTGGTAATGGAGGTTGTGGGAAGGTGTGGTAATGGAGGTTGTGGGAAGGTGTGGTAATGGAGGTTGTGGGAAGGTAGAGGGAAGGTGTGGTAATGGAGGTTGTGGGAAGGTGTGGTAATGGAGGTTGTGGGAAGGTAGATGGAAGGTGTGGTAATGGAGGTTGTGGGAAGGTGTGGTAATGGAGGTTGTGGGAAGGTGTGGTAATGGAGGTTGTGGGAAGGTGTGGTAATGGAGGTCACAGGAAGGTAGATGGAAGGTGTGGTAATGGAGGTCGCAGGAAGGTAGATAGAAGGGGTGGTTAGGGTGGTCACAGGAAGGTACATGGAAGGTGTGGTTAGGGAGGTCTCATTGGGAGGCTGATGGAAGAGAATGTTTAGGGAGGGTATTGGGAGTAAATGGAATGTGGATGTGATCATAAGGACAAAAGCAATTGTGTGACAGTGAAAGTTTGCTTGGGTTGGGACATTAGAAAGAAAGTTTGAGAGGAAAGATCAACGGAATTTGGATGATTTGTGAAGATTGAGAAAAGGGGAAGTGGCAGTGGGAAAACAAGAAAGAGATGAAGCAGGGAGCAGGGAGCAGGGATTATCTTTGACAATATTACTAAAATAGCATGCCATCTATTCATTGAAGAACATCATATTGCATGTTGGTTATCCTGACTGATGTTAATTGACTGACATGATATACCTATCAACCTGGTATAATTTGTGATAATTGGTGCCAAAATTCTGAAAGTCAGCAAGATGTCAAAACTTGCCTGTTTACAAATATGTACTCTCCATTTTTAATTTGCATGTAAGTTATTTTGGCATCCCCCTTGTACTCTGTAGCATCTAACAAGATGCACGGTAGGCACTGTATTGGTGGGTGTATGCGGAACTGCAGCATGCTGTGCATGTTGGTGCATTCAAAAGGCCAGTGGTACACTCTCACAACATTTTACGTGCACATGGATAATGTTAGCTGGTGTAGCAGTACTATCCAGGTATCTGGGGTATGCTTTGATGACAAGCCCGCTGTCATCTGAAAACACAAGCATAAGGAAGAAATCGTAACACTGGTTATACATAGAAAAATTCTTTAAATGCAAACAGAAAAGTCACATTCTGTGATAATCAACATGTTTGATACAGAAATGTCAAGTATAAACCAGCTGGTGATTGATGCCAAAATCATTCTTCTTAGAAGTCCTTGTAGTCTGTTTAGTATCAGGTTCTTTATTCTCCAGTATTGAGATGGTGTTGTAGGTTATAGAGGTAAGCAGCCATAATACAAGCAGATAGAATGTCCTGTGTTTTCTATTCTCTAGCAGCACTGGGAGTGACTGCACCCATTGGCCTAGCTTCTCAGTTCCCCTGAAGACACCAGGAAGTGGAGCCAGCCTAGGAAGTAGAGCCAGTTTAACTAGGACCAGACAAACTAAATCCATGGGGAGAGATTGGGGGCAGCAATTGGGAGAAAAGAATATGGAAAGGGCAAGTAAGAAAAAAAGAGGTAGAAAAATTAGAGAGATAATGAGAAGAAAGTAAAGTCTTATGTATCACAGAGAGGCAGCAGAACCAACCGTGACATGATGAGGAATGAAGGAAGGGGATGTTAGTAAAAAAGTAACAATGTGGAATGAAAGAAGGGGATGTTAATAAAAAAGTAACAATGTGGAATGAAGGAAGGGGATGTTAAAAAAAGTAACAATGTGGAATGAAAGAAGGGGATGTTAAAAAAAGTAACAATGTGGAATGAAAGAAGGGGATGTTAATAAAAAAGTAACAATGTGGAATGAAAGAAGGGGATGTTAATAAAAAAGTAACAATGTGGAATGAAGGAAGGGGATGTTAATAAAAAAGTAACAATGAGGAATGAAGGAAGGGGATGTTCATAAAAAAGTAACAATGTGGAATGAAAGAAGGGGATGTTAAAAAAAGTAACAATGTGGAATGAAGGAAGGGGATGTTCATAAAAAAGTAACAATGTGGAATGAAGGAAGGGGATGTTAAAAAAAGTAACAATGTGGAATGAAAGAAGGGGATGTTAATAAAAAAAGTAACAATGTGGAATGAAGGAAGGGGATTTTAATTAAAAAAGTAACAATGTGGAATGAAAGAAGGGGATGTTAAAAAAAGTAACAATGCGGAATGAAGGAAGGGGATGTTAATGAAAAAAGTAACAATGTGGAATGAAGGAAGGGGATGTTAATAAAAAAGTAACAATGTGGAATGAAAGAAAGGAATGTTAATGAAAGACTAACAATGTGGAATGAACAAAAGGAAGGAAAGAACTTGGAATTCAGATGCTTACGCATTCAGTCTTCAGATGAAAGGGAGAGGAATAAGGCATATACTAGGAGGATTACAGTCTTGTGAACTTCTTCTCAAATCATTCTTGGAAGGTTTCAGTCTCTGGGAGGACTGTAGAAGAGGAAGGATGCAGATATGAAGATGGTTTCAGTCTCTGGGAGGACTGTAGAGGAGGAAGGCGACAGATACAAAGATGGTGTCAGTCTCTGGGAGGACTGGAGGGGAGGAAGGCGACAGATACAAAGATGGTGTCAGTCTCTGGGAGGCCTGGAGAGGAGGAAGGCGACAGATACGGAGATGGTTTCAGTCTCTGGGAGGACTGGAGAGGAGGAAAGCGACAGATACAAAGATGGTTTCAGTCTCTGGGAGGACTGTAGAGGAGGAAGGCGACAGATACAAAGATGGTGTCAGTCTCTGGGAGGACTGTAGAGGAGGAAGGATGCAGATAAAAAGATGGTTTCAGTCTCTGGGAGGACTGTAGAGGAGGAAGGAAGCAGATACAAAGATGTTTCAGTCTCTGGGAGGACTGGAGAGGAGGAAGGCGACAGATACAAAGATGGTTTCAGTCTCTGGGAGGACTGTAGAGGAGGAAGGAAGCAGATACAAAGATGTTTCAGTCTCTGGGAGGACTGGAGAGGAGGAAGGAAGCAGATACAAAGATGGTTTCAGTCTCTGGGAGGACTGTAGAGGAGGAAGGCGACAGATACAAAGATGGTTTCAGTCTCTGGGAGGACTGGAGAGGAGGATGGAAGCAGATAAGAAGATGGTTTCAGTCTCTGGAAGGACTCGAGAGGAGGAAAGAGGGAGATATGCAGATGGTTTAAGGATGAGGTTTTAGGAGAGGTGAAATGAATTGAGAGAAGTAAGATGGCAGGCAACAGGAAACTGTTCGTCCTGTAAAGGTTGATAGGGGAGAAGAAATAATGCAAATTCATGAAATCGGCAAAAGGATGGAAGAGAATGAGTCAACTTGAGGGTAGTGCCTGTGAAACAGTTGGAGATGAAGTAAATATAGGGGGAGTAAGTAGATGAATGAAACAAGAGGGTGTCTTTCAGGACAGAACAATAACAGTATGTCAGATAAAGGAAAGACAAGGACATGGAGAGAAGATCATTTTTAGTACATGTCACGTTAGTTATTTCATATGGAACTGATTAAGCACCAAAATGTGACTCTTCACAACATTTCTTCAAAGGAGAATGAAAGCTATTTTCTGGAAAAAAATTCTGTTTGTTACCATGTAGGTGTGAATCAGCACCAACAGCTTTGACTTGTATTAAACCAGCTGGTTGATATTCTATGTGTGATGTATATTTTATAACTGGCTAAATAATTACTGTGATGAAAAAAATATATTTAAAATAGCAGGAAAACACTTAAAACGGCTGTGAGACAAATATTTTGGTGGCTGTGTATTAATCATGGTGAAATAGGAGGCAATGTCAAGTTATATGTCTGCAATACAGATGGCATCAATTTACGTAATGATAAATAATTTTTTTACCGCACCAAAAAAAATGAGAGAAAAAATTGCCCTTGAAGAAGATAATGCAAAATGGTAGTAAGAGTGATGCTTCGTTAATTAACTTGCTGCGGTGATGTCATGAAAAAACTCACCCCTTTCATTAGCTACGCTGGTGTTTTTTCATCAAGGCCAGAATGAGCATAGGAGGTTGAAAGCAGTTAACAGGTATCGGTGAGGATTTATGTTGTGAAGATGGACGGGCGTACGTGAAAATACTGTCAGAAGGAGAAGCGTCTAAATGAACAGACTTGCAGGAATATTAGCGTGGGAAAGACAGGAAGATGGAAAGTTGTTTGTTTCATGATGGAGTTGGGTAACACGTTGATAAGGATCAAATAAGGCAATTGTGTTGGTCTGTTTGATCATCAGTCATGAGGCTGGCAGAGAGAGTTCGCTTGTAATGGCGAAGAAGATATCAACGTTGATTGGATTTCAAGGAGTGTTAATTTCTACTGAACATCATTATTAGTTCTTTTCTGGGAATCTTTTGTGTCAAAAGCTGGATCAAACGGTAATTAGTCAATTTGAATGTAATTAGTTGACAGTGTGATTTTGTGCCCTGTATTTCAGTTGTGGAACACTTTCCTTGTGGTATTGCAATCTGGAACAAGTTTATAGCAGCAATCAAGACTACAGATGATTAGATGAATGATTAAAGGTGACACGCATTGCTACACAGAGTTGTCTTCCTTGGGCATGCCAGGAGCCTATGATCATGAGTTCAAATCCCAGATTTATCCTGATCCTCATCCTTGGTTTGTCTGCACCACACCGTGCTCATGGGTTTCACCAAAGTTGTAAATGTCTAAGACCTTCTCACATTATGGTGACTGTCTTGATGTCAATGAAATA